GCCGCGCTGCGGTCAGGGGGGTGGTCTGGGGGGTGCGTGCCGCGCTGCGGTCAAGGGGGTGTCTGAGAGGTGTGTGCCGCGCTGCGGTCAGGGGGGTGTCCGGGAGGTGTGTGCCGCCCTGCGGTCGGGGGGGGTGTCTGGGGGGTGCATGCTGCGCTGCGGTCAGGGGTTGTCTGGGGGGTGCGTACCGTGCTGTGGTCTGGGGGGGGTCTGGGGGGTGCGTGCCACTCTGCAGTCAAGGGAGTGTCTGAGAGGTGCGTGTTGCGCTGTGGTCTGGTGGGGGGTGTCCAGGGGGTACGTGCCACGCTGTGGTCCAGGGCTGGTCGGGGGGCCTCCCCGGGACACGAGGGCTTCTTCCCAGCCCAGCCCCCAAGCCTCCTTTTCACCCGGCTCGCGAAGGTCGCTGTGCTCCTGGGAAACAGACCCTTCAAGGTGGCCTTGGATGGCATCCCCTGCACGCTGCTCCCGCCCTTCAGGACAGGCCGGTGTGGGCTCTTCATTCGTGCTCATGCACACCTCAGTACACATTACACACAGGCACACGCCACAAACCACGCATGACGTACACACTCCTGCACACACATGAGCACCACATATGAGCTCCCGCACACACCTCACACCATGTACACACTCCCCGACACACCACACACCACATACATGCTTCCACACACACACATGAGCACCACATATGAGCTCCCGCACACACCTCACACCATGTACACACTCCCCGACACACCACACACCACATACATGCTTCCACACACAAATCACATCACATATGAGCTCCTGCACACACACCTCACACCACATACACACTCCTGCACACACACAACACACCACATATGAGCTCCTGCACACGCAGGCACTCCACATGTGCACACAATACACGGTGCACACACCACACACACTCACTGACAGCTTATGTTTTTTTCTCCACCAGCCCAACTCCTGACCGCGAGAGCAGCCGTCCTGGGCTGACTGGCTCGGGTCCCCGGCAGCCCAGCCCCCCACGGGGCAGCCCCCGGTGGGGCCCGGCGCCCCCCCCCCCGCATGTCTCCCCCACGCTCAGATGCGTACAAACTCCAGCGCAAAGCCTGCTCGCTGCCTGGCGCGCCGTGTCCCCCTGGCCGGCCCTGGTTGCCCCGGGACGCCGCATCCCCGTGCACGCAGATGTGCCGCGGGCTCCGTCACTGAGCCACCGCCCTGCACGGGCCTGTTCTGCGTGGGTGTGCTTCGTATGGATGTAAACAACATATTTGATCTGTTCCCATTAGTGGGAATAGGCTGCTGTGGTCTTGCAGTCTGATAAATGAGACCGCGCCACGAGCCGTGTGTGGGGACGCCCGTGGGACGGTCCCAGAAGTGACACTGCTGGGCCGAGTTGTGTCATGCTCGCTGCTGGCCCACCTGCCCAGCCGGGCTGCCCCGGCCCCCGGCCCCCGGCCCCTGCAGGGACGCGGGGTGTCCCGTGCAGCCTTGCTGTGTTCGGCCCGTGCGTCACTGCGCCCTCCTCCCCGCGGCAGTCAGGACCCTCCTCTTTGCCGTCCGACTGGCTGTGACGGGCACATGACACGCCGACTTCTACACTTTGCTTTCACTCCTGTCTCCTTGGGCCACCTCACGGAGCACAGTCGTTTCCGGTCGATCCGATCCGACGTTCGGCCATGTGAGTGCTGGTGTTTTCCCCCAGCCTCACACCTGAGAGGCACGTTTCCCTCGTCCCGTGGGGCAGGCGCCCTCGGACGAGGGTGGGCCGCAGCCGTGCCGGGATGCCCCCGTCTTGTTTCCGACTTCCACGGAAGTGTTTCCAGCCTTTCCCTACGAAGCTGGCGCCGGCTTTTAGGTTGAGGTTGATATAGTTCACTACGCTAAGGAATTTTCCAGAAGTTTCAGAGATTCCCACGTTTTCGAGTAATCTCATCGAGAATATTGTTGGGGCGCCTGTGCGGCTCTGTGTGTTTGGCACCCGACTCTTGATCTCAGCTGAGGTCTTGATCTCGCAGGGGTCATGGGTTCAAGCCCAGTGTTGGTCTCTGCACTGGGCGTGAAGCCCGCTTAAAAAAAAAAGGCTGTTGGATTCTGTCAACCGTTCTTTTTTGCGTCTGTGGAGACAGTGAGGTGATTTCCCCTGTTGGTATATTAAGGGGATACAGTCCGCTGATGGGCTCCCAACAAGGAAGCAAGCCGGCTCCTGGGGAAACCCGCTCAGGGGCGCATGGTTCTTTTAATGGCTCTTTTCTGAACGCTGGCGAACCTTGCCTTTGGGACTTTCGCCGGGAGCAGCACAAGGGAGCCGGCGGGTGGTCCTCCGCGGTCTGTCTCTGCCCCGTCCGTGCCTGGACGTGGAACTTGCTTCGTGACCTGGCGAAGCCGGCTGGGTTGACTGTTGCCGCCGCCGTGCTAAAATGGCGTAGCGCTTCTGTGGAACAACAGGGCTTTCCGTCCTTTCTGAGATCAGTTTGGTAATTATGTTCTCCCAGAACACAATCCATGAATTAGTTTTTTAAAATTTATTTTTAATTTTTTAAATGTTTATTTATTTTTGAGAGTGAGAGACAGAGAGAGAGTGGGGAAAGGGCAGAGAGAGAGGGAGACACAGAATGTGAAGCAGCTCCAGGCTCTGAGCTGTCAGCACAGAGCCCCACATGGGCCTCGAACCCACGAACTGGGAGATCATGACCTGAGCTGAAGTTGGACGCTTAACCGACTGAGCCCCAGGCACCCCCTGTGAATTATGGTTTTAAAAGTCATTTTCGCAGGGCTGAGAAAAGTGTTCCCATGATTCTTCTACCTTCCTCCACGTCCATGGTTATTCTTAATCATTAGCCAGTCTGGAATTTTTATTTTTTTATTTATTTTTAAAATTTTTAATGTTTTATTTATTTCCAAGAGAGACAGCATGAGCAGGGGAGGGTCAGAGAGAGAGGGAGGGAGACACAGAATCCGAAGCAGTTCCAGGCTCTGAGCTGTCAGCACAAAGCCCGACGCAGGGCTCGAACCCACGAACCATGAGATCGTGACCTGAGCCGAAGTCAGACACTTAAACGACTGAGCCACCCAGGCGCCCTCGGGATTTTTAAAATAGTGACACGCCCACCGAGAAGCAGCCAGGGCCAGGTTTGTAGGCTGCATCATCTATCAAAACACAAACACGCAAACAGTGAGTGAGTGATAGCGGGTCCAGCCACAAGGTTCAGGTTCCAAACTGGACGCGAGTTATCAGCACACATAGAGCCCAGCAAAAATACTGACTCTGGACTGTTTAGCGCACACGTTTGGGAGGTCACAGCTGGTCCCAAATCAGAAGGCCAGAAAGGGACCTTTCCACACTTTCTGCGATGGCTCCCATCTTGCTGTGGAACATGGTTCATGCCAGAGGGGGGGGAAGTTAGGCGTGCTGCCTCTTTCGGCTCTGGCTCTGGCGAGTGCCGGGCCGTCTGGTGTGTCTCTGCCCGTGGCGTGTCTGGGTGCAGGAGGAGGCTGGTGTGTCCATGGGGGTGGGTGGCAGGGGGGCTCGGGGACGGTCCACACGGGACTCTGTGGACTCAGGGAGCAGGTGGGGTCGGCCTGCCTCGTGTTGGGTGTCAGGGACAGGGGGCTTCTTGCCTCAGTTTCTCCTCTACGTCTTTCTCCCTTCCATGAATCCCCCTCCCATTGGTGGAAGGTCTCCCTCCCACCCCCTCCTCCATCCTTCCAGCGCCTTCTACAGAGACTGGGACCCCGGGGTCCAGCAGCCCGCGCGGCTCCTGAAACACCCGGCGCTTTAGAAAACCCTTTGTCTGCCAGCAAAGCCTTTCATCTTCCAGAGGCGAAGAGAGTCTTGGCTCAAAGACAAAGGACGTCTTTGTCCTTCGGGGAAATGCGCGTCGGAGCCGCAGCCGGTGGGGAATCCCTGCCACGTGACCTCCGGCAAAGGAGAGTCTACTGGTTAAAAGTTCCAGTGATGCCTCAGCTTCTTTCCCTCAGAAGGTGATTTATAAGAAATCAGATGTGAGATGTGAGCAGCGGAGACTGAGAGACACCGTCCTTCTAGAGAGGGGGCTGAGGCCCCCGGGCACGGTGGGGGGGAGGTCATTGCCCAGGCTACCCTGAGCCACGGCCCATCTCCCTCCCTCAGGCCGACCCCGTGACCATCCAGGACGTCTGTGGCAGAACCGTCCAGAACGCCGTGCACGTGTGGAGCAACATCCCAGCCGTGAAAAGGTGCTCCCCGCGAGTCCCAGGGTCGCGGGGCACTTGCGTGGGGCAGGGACGCCGGCCAAGCACCGGCTTCGCCAAAGAAACTGAAGTCTGGGGACAGTTTTCTAGACAGAGCCATGCGTGGGCAACCTCTGTGCCCAGGTCAGGGGCTGTGTCGGGCGGGCCTTCCCCCCGCCGAATTCTGGGGTGATCAAGGTCAGGAGACCTTTTCCCAGCTTCTGGCTCCACAGCTGCCTGAGGCTGTCCCCCCAGGACTTTACAGGGCTCCCTGGGTCCCGGGAAGGGCGTCTACACTCCCGGACACCCGTCACCGGGCCCTCCACAGCCTCGGGAACTCTGCCTGCCCCACACATGCACAAGCGCTCACACTCACACTGCCTGCTCACACTCATCCTCACACCACACACCGCTCACACTCACTCACACACCACACACCATTCACACTGCCTGCTCACACTCATCCGCACACCACACACCACTCACACTCACTCACACACCACACACCATTCACACTGCCTGCTCACACTCATCCACACACCACACACTGCTCACACACCACACACCATTCACACTGTCTACTCACACTCATTCGCACACCACACCTGCTCACTCACACTGCCTGCTCACACTCATTCACACACCACACACCGCTCACACTGTCTGCTCGCACTCATTCACACGCCACACCTGCTCACACTGCCTGCTCACACTCATCCACACACCCACACCGGCTCACACATCCATACCCACTCTCACACACACACACCTGCTCATACTCTTTCACACACTTGCTAATGCATTTACATTCACCAGCTTACACTCATTCACATACACAACTACTCACAGCCCCCTGTTCACATTCACACACCTGCTCATACATTCCTATTCAGCTCATGCTTATTCACACACCCACCAGCTCACACTCATTCACACAACCATACCTCATTCTCACACCCACCAGCTCACATCCATTCACAGACACAGGCTCACACACACTGTCACACTCACACAAGCTCACAGTGCATTTCTGGGCTGTACGAACAGCTCAAACACACCAGGGCTTAGACCCTTACACTTACCCCTTCTCCGCTGCCAGAACATTCTTGGGACTATTCATTCTCACAAGCATCGGTTGGCCAGCCCCCCCAGCCCCAGCCCCTCCTCTGGACAGCTTTCTGCTCCTAGAACACCGGCCCTCGCTCATCTGTCCTCACCCACACACTGTGCCCCAGAGCCCCTAAGGACACGGCCGCCCGCCTCCCCAAGGCCCACACCATGTGGCACCTGCTCTGTGGTGAACCAATGTTGACAACAACCAAGCTAAGCCACATCTTCTGACAGCGAGTTTCTGGAAACTTCTATGCCCCCCACGTCCCAAGTCCAGCATTCCCCAGCTTGCGGTGTGGCACGTGCTCAGGGCAGGAGCTGCCAAGGCTTGGCGCGTGCCAGACCCACACCAGGCTCTGTGTTCAGGTGGAGCCAAAGCGAAGCAGCTTTCCAGTGTTTTCAGACACGTTTAGTGTCAGCCGCCTCCTCTCCCTGCCCTCCTCCCCCTTCACTCCCCCGGACCTCTGCGGGCGGCGCCTGGAGGGGCGGGTGGGCGCCTGGTTCCCGGAAATAAAGCTGGAAGCAGCCATCTTCACCTGGGCGTTCTCCTCCAGGCCCGTGTCTCCACAGGGAGGACAGAGCCCCTGCTCACAGCTGAGACGGCAGCTGCCTGTGGACAGCCACGGCCGTGGTCAGCCCTCAGACAGCAGGGCTGCCCTGGGGGAGCTGGGCCCGGGGGGGCGGGGGGCGAGGCGTCCAGCCCCTGGGGCTCAGGACTGCTGGTCACTCCACACGGGCTGGAAAGCTCACGGAAGGTGGGGGTGGGGGGGGCGCCTAAGACTGTTTATCTCCAAGGCCTCGGGATAATCGGGTGGGACCCGGTGCGCCAGCCCCTCCCCTGCGCCCGGGAGCCTGTGCCGGCGCTTGGTGATAAGCCTCCTTCTCTCCTTTGCAGCAGGCATTCAGCCCTGGGTTCCCAAGAGGCCCTGTCTTTGCTGGCTCAGGACAGGCAGAGAATGAAGCCCCCCACCCAGGGGCCGGCCGAGCTGGTGAAGAATTGTTTCCTCCCCCTGAGAGAATATTTCAAGTATTTTTCAACAGGGCTCACTTCCTCTCTATAAATGATTCATTTTACCATTAAAAAAAAAAAAAAGAAAAGAAAGAAAGACTTCCTAGAACAGGGCAACTTTCCTTGCATAGTTTCTGTTTTTTCCTCTTCAAATTGTTCTTTTATTTGAGTGACTTTGGATTTCCCAAGGTTGCCCCAGACAGATGCACCTCCTTCCCGGTGTGGAGATGCAGGCGTGGCCTGGCCCCGCCTCGTGGGGCCGAGGTTCTCGGCCTCTAACCGTGGACAAGACCTTGCTGCTACGAAGCTGCTGGAAATGTGTGTGTGCCGGTTGAGAAGTTAAAATATATTTATTGTGGTTGTGACTGGTCGTATTCTGGTGTTTTTATGTGCAAGGATAGCCTTTCTTTTATCCCAAAGGATGTGGGGGTGAGTGTGAGAAAGATGGCGGGACAGATTGTCGTACGTGGGTGTGGCCCGTGTTCCCCGTGCACCTGTGGCCCTGCGGGGGCGGGACTGCCTTCGGCTGATAGTGAAAACCGCTCACACTGAATACAGCCGTGGCAAACATCCCAAACCCTCGTGAAGCGTGGGCTAGGACGGTTAGTGAACAGAGGGAGAGCGCACTGAACAGACAGCACAGAGGCCAAGGCCCCATCCACGTTCAAGGCCGGCAGCCACAGGTGCTCGTGGAGCCAGAAGGACTTGCCCGCAGGAGGCGGGATTCCGCTTGCCGAGGCCCCGGGGAGGACGGAGCCGTTGCGGAGCCTGGACTCAAGCTGGCTTCCAATCACACGTAATGAATCCTAAAGGGCCCTTTCCAGATTAGCCAGAAAACCCCCCAAAGTGATGTAGACTTAATCAAACAGACCCAGCTTGTCCTGGGTGAGGGAGCCTCCGGGCCCACACTGTGCGGAAGAAAAGTGGGGTTAAAATTGGACCTTCTCAAGATTAAAAAAAAAAAAAAATACCTTGAAAGAGAATAGAAGTTGTAATGGTTAATTTTCTGTTGCGACTTGGCTGGGCCATGGGGCCCAGACATTTGTTCAAGCGTTATTCCAGACGCTTCTGTGAAGGTGTTTTTTGGATGAAATTGACGTTAATTGGTGGACTTGGAGTAGAGAAGACTGCCGTCCAGTATGTGGGTGGGTGCCGCCGGCTGAAGGTCTGTGTCTCCCCCCAATTTATGTTGAAATCCCAACCCCCAAGATGATGGCATGAAGACGGGGTCTTGGGGAGGGGCTCCAAAATGGGGCCAGTGCCCTCGTTGGAGGCCTCAGAAGGCGCCCCCGCGCCCTCAGCCACATGAGGCTGCACTGAAAGTGTGCGATGAGGAAGAGGGCTCTCACCCGACCCTGGGGCCTCCTGACCTCGGACTTCCCGTGTCCAGAACCACAAGCAACACATTCCTGCTTTAGAAGCCATCCAGTGTGTGACGGTGTGTTCCGGCAGCCCCGTCGCACGAGACGGGGGCCCCTACCGGTCCACCGAGGGCCGAATAGACCCCGGCGACATCCTCCGAGCGGGAGTTGTTCGGCAGGTCACCCGTGGGCCCTCCTCCCCGGGGCTCCGGCCAGCCGGTGCAGCCTGCACACTGTCAATTTGTCAAGCCTTCGTAATCCCATGAGCCAGTTCCTTGAAATAAGTTTCCCTCTGTGTATATATGCATGTCCTACGGGGGCTGCTTCTCTAGAGAAGGTTGATTAAGACAGAGGTCTTAACTGAATCCATAGGAACCTTCTCTCGTGGGTGGATGTGGGGGGCGTCAATACTGGGCTTTGACGTCACAGGTCTTGTCCCCAGGGGCGACTTTAGCAAGATCTGTAATGGAACAGAGGCTACAGAAGCCCCAGAAAAAGGGTGGGGACAATGTCACACAAGCACAGGTAGGAGCTTCCCAGTAGGTCAAGTTCTGGGGCCAATCTGGCAAAAATGCGTGCTCATGACAACACCTGGCCGGGCGGGGGGAACTCTGCACCTGACAGCTTCCACCCAGGGGACCGGTGCTGCGGGGCTGACGTGTTAGTGTCTGCTTTTGTTGTTGTTGTTAATTTTTTAATGTTTATTTATTTTTGAGACAGAGTGCGAGCGGGGGAGGGGCAGAGAGAAGGAGACCCAGAATCTGAAGCAGCTCCAGGCTCTGGCTGTCAGCACAGAGCCCAGTGTGGGGCTCAAAACCATGAGGTCATGGCCTGAGCCTAACCGAATGAGCCGAATGAGCCACCCGGGCGCCCGTAGTGTCTGCTTTCTATCAGACTCTCCCAAGTAGGGGCCCAGAGCTGCTCAAACAGCTTGACACCATCAATTCTCAAGTACCTCAAAATTCTCCAATTTTGAGGAGAATCCCACAATCCCACCCACAGATCCCAAAAGATGTCCCTGTTCTACTCCCTGGAGCCTGTGAATGTCACCTTATAAGGCAAAAAAGATGCAGCTGATGTTGTGAAATCAGGATGAGGAGACTGTCTGGGATCATGGGTGGGGGCTAAATGTGATCACAGAGGCCCTTATGCGGGGAGCAGGGGGAGACTTGACCTCATACAGAGGAGAAGGTCCTGACCCTGGAGACAGAGAGCAGCTGTGAGCCGAGGGAGCCTGGGGCCACCAGGAGCAGAAGACGGGGAGGGTCCTCGCCTCAAGTCCCTGAAGGAGCTCTGATTCCAGACCGCCAGCCTCCAGAACTTTGAGAGAATACATTTCTGTTGTTTAAAGACCCCCAGCTTGTGGTGATTCGTTATGACTCGCCCAGGAAACTGACACACCACCCAGCAGAAAGGGTGGGCTCCTTGGGACCAGCGATGGCACATGTCAACAGCAAGGGCTGAGCCGGACCCCAAGGACAGCTGACAGGGGGCCTGGGTCTCCTGAAGCGAGTGCAGCCGGCTCCTTCCCCGTCTGCACCAAGAACTTCCAGTTCCCAGCACAAATACAATTCTGCTTGGTGCCCAGGGAGGCAGAGAGGTTCTCTCTCTACACTCGGCTGACTGTCCGAGAAACAGGGTCATGGTCAAGGGGAAGAACGGAGAACCTTCTCTTAACTGCGGGAAGCCTTCAGAAGGGTGTTCTGTTTCACCATTTGTCTTAAAACCCTCTGTTTGTGACCCACGTTCCAGTATTGGTGTGAATGTTGTGTGTGTATCAGCTCACAATAACCACATATTAAGTCAGCTGCTTTTTTTAAAATTTTTATTTTTTTAATATTTTATTTATTTCTGAGAGAGAGAGAGAGGCAGCATGAGCAGGGGAGGGTCAGAGAGAGAGGGAGACACAGAATCTGAAACACACTCCAGGCTCTGAGCTGTCAGCACAGAGCCCAACATGGGGCTCGAACCCACAAACTGTGAGATCATGACCTGAGAAGCTGGACGCTTAACCGACTGAGCCACCTAGGCGCCCCAAGTCAGCTGCTTTTTTGAGGAAGGTGTTACAACTGTCTCCACTTCACAAATGGGAAAATGCAGGCACAGAGGAGTTAAGTAACTTACCCCAGGTCACACAGCTCCTGAATCCAACATGCACTTATCAGGCTGAGGTTCCTGGGGCTGGTCCTGGGTGTGCCCTTCCCCCAGACCCCAGTCCTGCCTAGATGTCCCTCTAAGCCAGCATCCGCCCTCCCTGCCACTTCTCTGCCTGCCCAACAAACAGCGTGTCCCTGGTCCTGAGTCCCCATTCTTGGCTGGGCTGCAGCAGCACTTGACTCTCTGGGGTCTGGGACAGGGTCGGTGGCTGCTCAGGAAGCAGAGCCTGGTGCCTCCCCACCAGCCACAGCCCCCCTCAGCTCTGCAGAAGCCTCTGCCAGCCTCCTCCCTCCCCCCTCCCCGTGGCCCTGAGGCGCTGCCCAGGCTGCACTGAGGGACCGCGGGGCGCACCCGACTGGGTCCCCTCCTTCCCTAGCCTACGACTCCCGAGGCGATTGCACTCGGGGCCCACCCTCTGCGCCCCCCAACCACACCCGCGGAGGGGGCTCCCCGGGGAAGCTTCCGGGGGTGGAGCGCCACCCAGGCTTCGGTCAATCACCGCAGCGTAGCCGCCCCCCGCCCAATCAGAAGGAGCCCCGGGGTTTGTGGGCGGGGATGGACCCGTGAGGCCGGGGAGGTGGAGGTGTTCCCGCCCGGCGCTCTCGCTGGGCACCCGCGGGAGATGCTGGGGCTGGGCCTCCCCAAACCGGCCCTCCACTGCCAGCTGCTGCCAGCCCAACGGGGCAGCAAGGCCACCCACGTTATGTCCCCTTCCGGACCCGCTGGGCCCGAGCCGGGGCCCCTCCCCCAAGCGTCCCCGGTCAAGTTCAAGATCAAGTTCAAGACCAGCGCAGAATATGGCACTGGTTTTCTGGTTCCGGGAATAGGAAGCGCCCTGAGACCTCTCTACGATTTGATTAACGCCCACACCCTGCTCTCCTAGCCGTATCTTACCTTTCCTGGGCCCCGGCTCCCGCCCCCACACGCCAAGTTCAGACGACCGGCCCTCTCTGGCCACGTGAATGGAGTCCTGGCCTGGCCCCTGGCCCTGCCCTTCCCTGCGAAAAGGGAGGGTGGCCGCGCTTGGCCAGTTTAAATCCTCCACCCCCTTTCCTAGCCGGCCCCGGGGGCGGGGGGGGGGGTGAAGCCCCGGAGCTCAGGACCGCGGGCCTCACCCCTCCCCTCGGGGTCGCCCCAGCCTCCCGGCCCGCATCCTCTCCTGGTTTCCACGGGAATGTTCACTTTCCAGGGGCAGAGATTCTGTCTGGTTTTAACAGCTGGTCCTTAGCGCTCACAGAGGGCCTGGCCCGCGCTCGGCGTGCACGGCGTGCACTGCGTCTTTCTGAACGGACGATGGGCTGCTGGAGGTGGCGGGGCTCAGGGGACCCCTCCTTGTCCGCCCTCACCTCACACCCTGCCTCTTGCCCTCCAAACGCCGGCCTCTGCCCCCCCCCCCCCCCAATCTGGACGTGGACGTTCTGCCCGACACTGGAGGGCAGCACTTGGCCTCCCACGGCCCCTCCAGCCCCTCCAGCCTCCCGCAGAGCATCTGGCCACCCTCCTCCCCGGGACCACGCACCCCCCCCCCCAACTCCCAGGGACACCTACAGCGTCCAGGTCCCAGGCCCTGCGCCCAGCAGCTGGCAAGGACTAAACTTTGCGGAGCCTGTGACTGAGCTTCCGTTCTTGCGAGCCCCGCCTGCAGCCAAGGTCGTGGGAGGGTCTGGCCAGGGGGTGGGGTCAGAGGCGAGGCCTGGGACGGGGCCAGGGAAAGTCAGTTCTTGTGATTCACTTAGCGCAGAGCCGCGGAGGCGCGCAGTCAAGAGCTGGGCTCCCGCGGCCCGAGGTCCTTCTGGCTCCGAGGGCTCCCGGGGCCCGAGGTCCTTCTCGCTCCGAGGGCTCCCGGGGCCCGAGGTCCTTCTCGCTCCGAGGGCTCCGGCGGCCCGAGGTCCCGCGCCCACCATGAGGCTGGGAAGGTGAGTGTGCTGGGGGACCGGCTGTGCGGGTGCAGCGGAAGGAGAGAAGCCGGCGCTGGGGCAGGGAGCAGCTGATGGCCGGAGGGGCCCCCGCTCACCTGGTGGCCCAGGCCGGAGCGCCACGGCGCCCAGGGCCCTACCTGCAGGCAGGTGGCGCCCGCCCAGTGGTGAGGCGGCCACGGGGGACCAACGGCAGCGTGTGGGTGTGTCTGTGGCGGGTGCCCGCCGTGCCAGGGCAGAACGAAAGCTAACGGAGCGCAGCCGGGCCGCACCAGCGGGATGAGGGCGCCGGCCGCCCGGAGGCAGGGCGCGACCGGTCGATCCAAGGCCGGCTGGTGGCCACCGTGTGACCTGCCCTCCCGCAGGCAGAGCCGGCCCGGAGTGGGGGTGCAGCTCGCACCCCTGCTCAGCTCGCGGTTCCCGGTGCCAGCGGGAGCCCTGGGTGACTCTGCCAGGCTTTGGGTCAGACGCCCCCTTCAGGTCAGGCCGGGGGCGTGCCCGCCTTGACAAGCTGGCGGTCACCCAGTCTCCCCAGTTATAAATGCAGGTAGTTACAACCATTTTCTCAAGGAGGAAAACACGTCCTCATGGTCACCCACATCCCAGAGCCCGGGGTGTCGGCTGGGGGCCAGGTGGGACAGCAGGGGGCCCAGGGAGCACCCAGGAAGCAGGCAATCCCGGCTCCCTCACCGGAGCCCAGAGCCCGTGCTTGTGCCCCATGGGGACCCCAGATAACTGGCCCCCTGAATCCTCAGTGAGAAGGGGGGCTGATGGGCACCACAGAGCCACCAAGGGGCGTTCGCCACTCTGTGTTTTGGAAGGTTGCTCCGACTCCAGGGAAGGGGGCTGCGGTGGAGGTTATGGGAGCCGTCCCGTGAGCGGGAATGGTGGCCCCAACAGGGACAGTGAGAGAGGACGGACGCGCCTGCAGCCCGTGGCCTCTGGCGTGAGGGGGCCCCTGGTGACCTGGCCCAGCTGGGCAGGACAGCAGCGCAGTTTACTCGGCAAGGACATGCCCCTGTGCACATTCAGACGACAGCTGTGGCGGGCGGGGCAGGGGTTTCCAGGGGTCCAGAGCTCAGTGGACACAGAAGCCTCAGAGGCCTTGCTGGAGGAGGCGGCGGGCCCAGGCGCACCGGGTGTGGAGTCTCCTGGGTCAAAGGTCGGGGTCGAGGCGACTGGGAAGTCCCCAGAGGGGTTTGCTGGCCCCGGGCCACCAGACGTGGTTTCAGAACAATTGGTTTCCATCTTGTTCCCAACGCTGCCCTGCGTTCTGCAGACCCGCTGTGGGGCACGCTGCGGCCTCTCTGTCCCCGCAGACCTAAATGTAGCTCTGGCTACAAATACCCTGAAGGTGCTCTTCCTTCCTTCCTTCCTTCCTTCCTTCCTTCCTTCCTTCCTTCCTTTCTTTTTTAAGATTTATTTATTTTTGAGAGAGACAGAACACAAGTAGGGGAGGGGCGGGGGTGGTGAACAGAGGATTCGAAGCAGGCTCCAGGCTCTGAGCTGACAACAGTGAGCCCGACGCAGGGCTCGAACTCACAAACTGCAAGATCAACCAAAGTCAGACACTTAACCAACTGAGCCCCCCAGGTGCCCCTGAGAGTGTCTTTTTCTGATTTCACACCATCTCCTGGGATCCATCCCCAGAAAGGCCTGGCCGGCACGGGGTTGAAGGCTGTGGCTTGGGTGGCTCTCACCACCCATTGAGCTGGCTGGTGGCTCAGGACTTGCTGTGCGGTGGGGGGGGGGGGGGGGGCACACACATCCAATGGGTGGGGCTGTGGGTGTGTTCGTGCTCCTCTGTGGGCCCGGCCGCCATGGCCCGCGAGGTTTGGGAGCAGTGGGAACTAACCCCCTTCTGGCTGTTTCCTTCCAGCCCTGGAATTCTCCTGCTCCTGTTCGGTGCTCTGCAGGCCAGTAAGTTCAGGGGGCTCCTGCTGGGGCTGGGGATGTGGGTGCTACCTCACCACTGCCCTCCTGGCCTTTCCAGGGTCCCTAAGGGAAAGCTGGGCCCCGGCGGGAGGGTAACGTGCGGATGGAAGACCACGAAGGGGCTGCTCGTGCAGCCGCCGGGGCTCTTGTGTTAGTGCGCGTTTACCGAAGGCAGCTTTCCAGCCCGTCCGCGTTCCAGACGAGCTGGGGCTGCCGGTTCCTCTCGGCCCCTTGGCCCCTTGGCCCCAGTCTGCCCCGAGGAACCTCCAGGACCACCACCTTCCAGAAGAGCAGAGAACAGCGATTGGGCACCCGGCTGAGCCTTCCAGGCCCTGGGGCTCAGCAGGGGTGCAGGCCTTGCGCGGTGGCACGGGTGGGCCCGGCTCTGGACCCAGCACGTGTGCGCACGGCGGTATAGCGCTGGCACTGCGGAACTGTTTTCTTTAAGTGTCTGAGTTAAAACAAACAACAACTTTTTACTCTGAATTAGTGATAAACACCCAAGAAACGGCCCACACTGTGCAGAGCGGTCCTGGGTGCCCACCTCTCCCCCGACTTCTCCCGCAAGGGCAGAGATCCGCGTCAGGCCGTGCAGCGCTTTCCAAAGCTGTCTGAATTTCAAACACGCTAGCACGTTCCTACATCTATTTGATTAATGCATTCCATTTCTACTGAAAGGAGTCAGAATAGGTGTTTGACCCTTGCTACCCAAAAGCCTCCCTCCCCCTCGTCGGAGGACTTTTGCGGGCTGGGCACCAACCGTGGCGAGTCAACTTAGTGCTTTCTGACCACAGCAGATATTCAGGAGAAAGAAGTCAGAGCGCTGGTGGGCAGCGACGTGGAGCTCAGCTGAGTTTTCCCCGGAAGTCAAACCTTTGATCTAAATGACCTTTATGTGTACTGGCAAATCAGTGTCGTTGGCGGACCGAAGACCGTGGTCACCTACTACCTCTCCGGGAACAGCTCCGCGGGCCACAAGGACAATCGCTACAGGGACAGGGCCCGGCTGTCGCTGGAGCGCATGACGCGCGGCGACTTCTCTCTCCGTCTGTACAACATCACCCCCCAGGACGAGCAGAAGTTCCACTGCCTGGTGTTCAGGAAATCCTTGGAGTTAAAAGAGATTCTGGATGTTGTGGTGACGTTACACGTGGCAGGTAAGACCGCGGCAGCTGACGGACCCAGCCCACCCCGGCCTCAGTCCCAGAGGAAGTGTCATTGAGGCCCCCCCTCGGCTCGTTCGCCCGTGTCTTCCGTAAAGAACGCCTGAGTCTCTGCCCGCGGGGTTCTGTCCAATGAGGGGGAAGCTGAACTGGTTGAAACCTCACTCAGCTCCTGGGAAGTGTTCTGTGGCCCGAGGTCACGTGGTCTCACAGAAGAACCCCCCCCCCCCCCCACATCTTGCCATCTTGGCCTTAAACTCTCCGACTCAACTCCAACTAGATGTTCTTTTTTTTTTTTTTTTTTAATTTTTTAATGTTTATTTTTGAGAGAGAGTGAGAGACAGAGTGTGAATGGGGTAGGGGTAGAGAGAGAGGGAGTCACAGAATCTGAAACAGGCTCCAGTCTCTGAGCTGTCAGCACAGAGCCCAACGCGGTGCTTGAACTCACGAACCGCGAGATCATGACCTGAGCCGACGCCGGACGCTTAATTGACTAAACCTTCCAGGCACCTCTCCAACTAGATGTTCTTAATGAAATTAGGAGAGAGTGCTGTGAAGCCTGCAAGGAGATCAGAATTTAGGAAGAAAATTGAAGTCCACCAAGGACGCAGCTCGGCAGAGAGACGGGTTGTGTCCCCTGAGATGGCCTGCAGGCCTCCCGTGTCACTGGAGGGTCACACAAGCCCAGCCTGCTTGGATGGGGGAGGGGGTGCCCGGCTCAGAAGGCCTGCCTGGGGGCAGAGGGGGGAGGGGGAAACAGCGGCGTGTGCGGGCTGCCCGGCCCACGGTCAGGGGCACGCTGGGCCGCCTCCCCGCTGACCTGGCCCTTGGCACCTGTGCCCCTCCGTTTCTGACCTTCAGAACCTGCCTCCCTCACCACCCATCTCCCCCTCCTGCAGCCAACTACAGCATGCCCGTGGTCAGCGCCCCAAGCAGCGCCTCTGAGGACAAGGAGCTGACGTTCACGTGCACGTCTATGAACGGCTACCCGAGGCCCAACGTGTTCTGGATCAACAGGACGGACGACAGCGTGCTGGACGGGACCCTGCAGAACAACACCGTCTCCCTGAAAGCGCGAGGCCTGTACGACGTGTTCAGCGTCCTGACGATCCCGTGGACCCCCAGCGCGAGCGTCGGCTGCTGCATAGAGAACGTGCTCTTGCACCAAAACCTGACGGCGACCCCCACGCAGGCAGGTGAGGTCCCCTGGGGTCTGCCTGCTGACGCCAACCCGAGCCCGTGGGCCGACGGTGACTCAGGGGGGGCTCCGAGCCAGAAGATGGCTGAGGCCGGCAAGGTGGCCGGCAGTGGCCGCTGCAAGCTGGTAGGAAAGGGGTGGGGGGACAGGCAGCCCTTGATGACAGAATCCACCACGGCCGCCGAGGGCAGGCATGGGGCTGGGCGCTCAGAGCACGTTGCTTCACTTAATCTTCGCTCTCAAGCTCAGGGAAGGTGACTCATTTCACAGGAGGGACTGTGAAGGAAGGGTGTGTGGGGCCAGGCGGCGGCGGCATCAGTGTTGAAAGCTATGGCCCAATCTGAGCCTGCGCCCTGGAGGGGCTGGAGCGCACCTGCCGGGACCCGCCCACGGCAGCCTGGCCGCAGGCTCGGGGCTTCCCCGTGGAAGCAGTACAGGCAGAAGACTCCTCCCCAGAGGCCACGGGCTCTCTCAATCTGCGTTCCCGTCACTAGCGTGGAGATGACAGGTCCCCCGCGGGTGGAGGTGGGCGGGCTCCATGGGCCCCCCACGCCCCTCAGGGCCCCGTGAATGTTGTAGGGGGAGCAGAGGTCCCAGTCCCGGCCTGTGGGAGCCCCAGTGGCCGTGGTGCAATCGTCCGGAGCACAAGCCCCCTGAGTGTGGGCCCTGGAGCCTGCGAGGGTCACTTGCTTCGAGGCTGGCTCTGCCCCCCAGGAATCCTTGAGGGGCTGACATCTTCCACCATGAAATCAAGGCGAGGCCTTGTGACTCAGGGATCACGGTCTCTCTGCCCAAATGGACCAAGACAGGGCTATACTCAAAAGCCCGCCTCTGCCCACTGCCTCCCAGCCAGCGGTCGCCCTGGCAGGCAGCCCCGGCCACAGGTGGAGGGGAACCAGAAGGTTCTCTCAGGGCTGTGGTGTCAGCCCCTGCACTGTGGGTCGGCTGGGAAGCCTGTAAAAGCCCCTGTGCCCGAACCTGTAGGATTCGCACCACTGGGCTAACTGGGCACCAGGACGTGTTTAAAAGCTTCTGGATGATTCTAAGGTGCATTCAAGGCCTAGCCACTGCATGGTTTCCCCCAGTTTGGAGACACATGGGGCATTTGTCACAAGCTTCCCTTCCTTGTTTGCCCGGGAGAACCACTTTCCAAGGGGCTAAGCGATTGCACGTTAAGACAGGAGGTATGAGCCCCTCATGCATGTTCAGGGTTGGGGGGGGGATGCAAAATGCTGCAGCCACTTTGGGAAACAGTGCGGCGGTGCCTCTGAAGGTCATCGCAGCATTTCCGTGTGAGCCAGCAATTCCGCGCCACGGTGTGCAGCCGGCAGAATGGAAAGTGGGCTGACACACTTGTACACGGATGCTCACAGCAGCAGGGCTCAGTCAGCAAACAGCGAACGATGGACACTTCCGTCCAGGCGCTAATACCCACTGACAGGCGGACGGAGCTGGGGGACGCTGTGGCCAACGGGGAGCCAGAAGGGACCCACGCCGTATGATTGCATTTAAACAAAATGTCCAGAATAGGTCAATCCTTAGAGACATGAGTGGGGGCCGGGGCGGGAAAGAGCAGTGGCTGTCGATGGGAACAGCGTTTCCTTCTGGAATGATGGAGAAGCTCTAGACCCAGGCAGTGATGACAGCCGTGCCCCGTTAGAAATGTACCACATGCTGCTGACTTGTTCACCGCGTTAGGTGACTTTCATCTTGTTGGGTTTTTTTAAAGCCATCTATAAAACTAAAAGAAAATAATAATAAGTGACATTAAATTGCATTAAGCATTTTTTTTAAATTGAAAGGGAGTCTGTGCTTCCCACCTGCCCCGCCAGGTGCCGCCGGAAAGGGCTGGGGCTCAGGGTCTCACAGTAGAGCCGCTCCAGGTAGAGCCACTCCCACAAGAGCCACAGATTTTAAGCATCACAAGCAAAGCCATGGAAGCTCTGAGGCATCGGTGTCTCCTCGGCCCACTGCTGCTCAGGATGGAGGGGTCCTTTCCTCCCCTCCTCACGCTCTAAGTCTTGCCTTGTTTTACTCTTTCTCATAGAAACGTTCACCGGAACCGAACACGGCATCACCGAGAGCCAAGCCGATGCCCCGAAGAAACAAGGTGCAGTCCTCAGCGCCCTTCTCGTGCTGGGCGTGGTCGTGGTCGTGGCCGTGGCCACAGGCTGGGTGTGCCGGAGCAGGTGCCCCCCGCGGGATCCGCGCAGGTACCAGGCCAGGCGCCGGTCGTGGGTGGTTAGCGTCTGTTGTTGGTGGGAGCAATTTGCCCTTTTCAAGACGCGTCAAAGTTCTGCGAGATGTTGCCTTCCTGCGAAGCGTGGCTTTCATAGCATTCACATTCGTGAGTGCTGGCGGCTCCTCCCACTCCGGGCCGTGGGTCCTGGACGTGGCCCCTGATGTCGTTGGATGAGCCCGGCTCCCAGCGGGGGTGGGCGTGCCAGCTTCTGAATTTAGAGGTCAAGACAGGGCTCATTTCTCTGGAGGCCGAGCTGCCTTCGGTCCTGACGAGGCTGTTGAATTCTGGCCAGACTCAAAGACAGATTTAGAACGGCTGGGTGTTGACCCTGCGAAACAAAGCAGAACTCCCAGAGGAGGCAGAAAAGTCCAGAACATGAACATGGTCACAGCCGTGTGAACCAGGGGCATAGGGAAGTCCCTGGGTGGGGCGCAGGGAGGTCTCCCCGGCTCAGCCTGGCGGGATCCTCCGTGGTGCTGACAGAGTTGGGTGTCTTCTGAGAAGGTGGGGGCACGGGGAGCGCTGGTTCCCCGACGGAAGTTTCCACGTGCTACTGGAGTTTCTGGTCTGTTGCCAATGCCATTGTCCCAGAAATACTGCCCACGGCCCACGGCCCACGCCTATCTGGCCAGGCCCTGGGGAGGCGCCCCGAGTCCAGGGCACAGAGCATCTTAAAGCACCTGCTGAACTGGCCTCTTACAGAGCATCTTCCCAGAAGCCAGGTGGCCCGAGGGACCTTCCCCTGTGGGTCTGTCCCTGCCGCGGTGCCCAGGGCCTCCGGGGACTCTAGAACAGGGCCTCTCTACCCGCTGCTGCCCCCGCCCCCCCTGAGTGTTTCTGGTTTGTTCCCACAGGAGCCAGGCTGCAAGACCAGAGCAGACGTTCTTCGGTGAGTTTGCCAAGAGGGGAGGGGGCCCGTAGACAGCAGGTGCCAGTTTCGCGAGCGGATGGCTGGATGGTGGCTTTGTCAGTGTTGGCCTTTGGCAAGCTCCCCTTGGTGACCGGGAGATGGGTGTGGACATTTTCAGAGACACGATGAGCCCCTGGGGAAGGCGTGTCACACTTGTCCCCTTTTGCATGGAATCCTATCCCCAGATACACTTGCTGACGTTGGGTTACAGAATTTTCCAGACATTCACAAAAGCAGTGAGCCTGTGAGGATGACCCCCAGGCACGTCCGCCAAGCTTCACCCCTTCTCCCTGGGCTCCCTCCTCCCTCTGTTCCCCACCCCACCCCCACGGGGGTCTCCGGGGAGCCCAGACACTTAGCCCTCTGTCACAGAACAGTTATTCCGAGAGGCCAGCAGCCCGCTGTCGCGGGAGCAAAGGGCAAGTGATTCCCACCCAGTTTGGGAAAAGCGTCCACACACAGAGCCTCCAGTTTCCCACGTGGCAGGTGCCTCGGGCTGCAAAGAGCAAGGGGCCTCAGAGGCACCGCTGGCCTGCACTTGACCCACTGGGCACATGACCACAGCTCTCTGAGCCCCGTCTGCACCCCTGTGAGCCGTGCTCGTCTTGGGGGGGCCATGCTGGGCTGAGCCTGGTCACACCCGAGCCCCTGAGGCCACGCGAGCCAGCTTCACACAACTCGCCACACCCTGGGGCCCATCTGCTTCTAGAGCCACTGAAGGGCCGCATTTGTGGGTGTTCAACGTGTTCGGTGCTCTGTGGGCACCATCCTCCGTCCCGAGAAAGCAGCCGCCCGCCCCCGGGAGGAGAGAAGCAGGCGCGGGGCTCCATGACGCTCTTTTCTTTTCCTTTCCAAGACCGAGTCTGACGAGAACCCCCCCATCCGGCGCGTGGACAGGGTTTCTGTGAGATCCCACCCGGAGGAACGGCGGACGGCAGCTTGGGAATTGACTCCGGCGGCCCTGGTGGCCACGAGGGACGGCCAGCCCCCACCGGCGCCTATGACAAGGGGGCTCCATGGACACGGAGCCTCTCTGGCCTGGAAGGGACACGTGGGGCCACGCCCGATCCCAGGGAGAATGTTCCAGGTGCCGCCCCAATCCTGGAATGAGGACCTTTCCTAGGGGCTGGCAGAGCCACCCACACAAGCGCCCAAGGGAGCAGGCTCCCCACCTCTGCTGCCAAGTGCAGGGGGAGAGGGTGCGAGAAGGTGGCTCTTCCCCCCCAGCCCCTGGGGCCCTCGGAACCCTTCTCGGTATCAAAAACGCATGGGGGTTTTGGGGGACGGGAGCTTTCTGAGGCCAGAGGAAGGGCGCCTCCCTTAGGAAGGCGAGAGGCATGCTCGGTCTCCTCCAGCACCTTCCCTGCTGGGCGGAGGTCACTCAGGGCTGGTGGTAGAGGCGCACGTGCAGGGCGCCCACCCCTCCTGCCCCCGGAGATGCAGGGGTGGAGTGTGTGTGTCTGCACGTGTGTGTGAGTGCGTGTGTCTGCACACGTGTGTGTATGAGCGTGTGTGAGAGAACATGTGTCTGCACGTGTGTGAGAGTGGGTGTATCTGTGTGTGCACGTGGGTATGAGCATGTATGTGAGTGAATGCATGGGTGAGTGGGTGTGTCTGCACACGCATGTGTATGAGCATGTATGTGAGTGAATGCATGGGTGAGTGGGTGTGTCTGCACACGCATGTGTATGAGCATGTGTGAGTGCATGTCTGTGCACACGCGCGTGTGCATGTCCAGAATGCAGGGACGGGTCAACACTGCAAAACTCCTGAAAGACCCCCTGGGAGTTGGTTTTTCTCCAGGACCTTCACTGGGAGGGACCCCTGACCTCGTTTGTTTTGGTCAAAAGCTGGATTTCCTGCTTAGAACGCACCGTGGAGTTGTTTTGAGAAGGCCGTCTGCTGCTGGGGCCACGGTGACCGGAGCGGGGCACAAGCAGGGACTCAGAAACTTGCTCAGGCAGGACTGGGGACCCACGTCTCCAGCGGACCTGCACTTCACCACGTGGCCAGCGAGGGCCCTCCCCCTGGCGCCGTGGCGCACGCAGGGGGCGCTCTTCCCGCGCAGCGGCCGTGGTTGAAACTGCAGCCTGAGTCCCAGGCCACCCTCTGCACCTGTCGCCCCGGCCTCCCTGGAACCTGCACGGCTGTCACGCAGCCCGCCGGGCCCGGCGGGGGACCGGAGATGGGCGGTGGCCCAAGTCCATGCAGGGGTGTGCGGCCCGTGGCCCCGACCCTCGCCGCGTGGTTTCCGCGCCATTGTCCCGTTTGAGTCTAGCAGCTGACGTTTCTGGACGGCTGTGCACAGGAGGCTGCCCATCTAACCCTGGTGAGCCTGCGGTCATTCAGCGCAGATGGGGGCGTGACGGGCAGAGCCAGGACTTGTCACTGGACACCGCTCGCTGTGTGTGTTTGTGCTGGAACTGCTGGCCCGGCGGTCCCGTGGGTGAGCTGCGGGTGGCACCCACACTATACCCAAAGCATTAGGAGAGGCGTGCTCCCAAAGGGGGCCGAGAAGGTCGCGGACTGGCATCCGGAGCGAAAAGCAGAAGGACAGCTTGGGTGCGGGAAGGGGGGGCGGAGCCGCCTGCAGCCTCGGGCAGGGACACCAGCACAGCCCCTTTCCTGGGGCCTCCCCAGAGCCCGGGCTGGGGGTCCCGCTCCTCCCGCAGCCACACCCTGCTCACCGGGCGCCCACCAGACGGGGCAGAACGGGGTCTGGGTCCGGCTCTCCCCTGTCTGAGCGGACTCCTCCCTGCGGGAGGCGCGGGCGGCCGGCTGCCTGGACCCCCAGCCGCTCCCCCCGCCGCGTGTCTGTGGGTCTGCCTGGACAGCCCCTCTCCCTCAGGCTGGGAGGGTGCACGGTGATCCGCGCCCTTCAGCCTGGATGGCACTGTCCGCTTGTTACACTGTGCTGTGGACGGGCCAAAGGCCAATGTTTTCATGTCTGCTTCTGGAAACCAGATTTACAAGAATAACAGGATGCAAGTGGTGTGTGTGTCCAGTGGCTTTGGTCAGCGTAGCCGGCGCCTGCACACTCAGCTCGGCTCGTCCTCACTGTCGGCCCCGGGGGCTCCCTCAGTTAAGCGTCTGACTTATAGCTCGGGTCGTGATCTTACAGTTCGTGGGTTCGAGCCCCACGTCGGGCTCTGTGCTGACAGCTCAGATGTCTGAGACAGCTCAGTGTCTCACTCTCTCTCTGCCCCTCCCCTGCTCACACTGTCTCTCTCAAAAATAAGCATAAAAAAAAAACAAAAAACAAAAACACCTTACTGCCAGCCTAGGGACCCTGCCCCTGTCCCATTGGTTTTCACTCAGGAGAGGTGTGTCCCGCAGGGGACACTGGGTAAGGTCTGGTGGCATTTTTGGTTGTCATACTTGGGGTTGCCACCAGCCTTTAATGGGTAGAGGCACGTGAGACGGCCCAGCACAGAGAAGTAGCCACGTTAGAGGTCAGTGGTCAGAGTCAGAACCGTGCCTTCCATAATCACCTTCCAGTGGGAGGTGGGGTGAGTGGGGCCCCGCCTCCTGTCCCCCTCGGCGCTGGGGCTCCCCCGCCAGTGGTTGTCTGGCTGGCGTCGGTGAGCGGTTCCTGGTTAACAGGTCCAGGCTGGGGAACGTCCTCGCTCAGGGCTGGGAGCCTCCCTCCCACGCAGCTCCGCTCGCTGCGGGCCTGACCACGCAGAGCCTGGGACCTGCCCGTCCCCGTGCCGTCAGAGCCTGGCCGGTGGGCGCTGGGCACTGCTGTGGGGCAGAGGCCCCGCCGGACCCCCGAGCCTTCGGGAATCCTGCTGCCCACTGCACATTGCCGGTGCAGCGAAGCCCGCGGGGAGGTGGGGCCCAGGCCCGCAAACGCGGTGGTTCAGCGCTAGGGGAGGGGACACGAGAGAGCCGCCTGTGTGACCTGGGCATGTCACTCCTCCCTGCACCTCGGACTCCCCTCCCGCGAGGTGCCTGCAGGCTCCTGCCGCTCAGATGCTTCCCACGACCGACTGCGGCGACTGCGGCCATTCTGTGTGCGCCTCCTCCCCGGGGGAGGGCAGCTGTGGCTTTAGAGTGCCGTTCAGGCCTGGGCACCGCACGAGAAGGCCCCAGCGGCTGGCTAGGGGCAGAAGCCAGCAGGCCGGCTCCGGGCAGCGCTGGGGACCCGCCCAGCCGCACATCTGGTCTTCGCCCTCCTCCACGTCCGGCTTTCCAGAAGGAGAGAAGGCGGCTCTTCTGATCTGATCTGAGACAATTCTGTCCTTGGAGACGGAGTCCACTCTGACCAGGCACGTTAGAACCCACGGCCCAGCCCGCGGGCCGCCGCCGCTTCCTGAGTGTTCTCTGGCCCCTGCACAGCCCCCTCCCCCAGCCCCTCCTGCCCTGGCATCAGGTCTGCTCACTCCCCCTCTCCCAGTGAGAGTCCTTTTTTGTGAATCCAGGCTGGTCCTGCCTGAACCAGGGAGAGGAAAGGAGCTGGGCGGGGGGGGGGGGGGGGTTGACTGTGAGGAGGGGTAGCGCAGCCCAGCTCCCAATGTGGGGGGTGGAGCCCGAGCCCCAGGGCCCAGGGGGCTGTAAGCTGACAATCCAGGGGCCTCCTGGGCCGTCGGCCTGCCTTCGGTGTCAGAGGCTGAGCTGGGGGGCTTCTCCTGCCACGGCCCCTGTCGGGAGGTGCTGGGGAGGACCCTGCCCCCACAACATGCACGGACAGAAGCTCTGATGCCCAGGTGCCCAGTCACATCCCACCAGCCGGCTCCCTGTCCAACCAGGGGGTGCTGGGCCCTGCAGCAAAGGCCCTACTCCCTGACCTGGGCCTGGCGGAGGGAGGAGGGGCGTCCGAGCCGAGACTGGCCAGGGCCCTCCTTCCCCCCTGTGTTCTTGCCACCGTGCTCCCTCCACCCTCCTCCCTCCCAGGGTCTTGGCCTGAGCGCAGGGCTGCACCCTCCCCTGGGAGAGTGTTGCATCTCCCTGTGCCCCCGACGACCCCAGGTCTGCGAGGGCCCATGGTGGGCTGCTGTGAGCAGGGCCCCAGGATGGCAGCGGACCCCTGTCCCGTCAGAGCGGTGGCTCCCAGGCTGGGGGGGGTGTCAGCTAGAGGGGCCTGCGGATCTGCACTCAGGGAGAGCAGACACCACACGTGTGGTCCAAAGTGTGACCATGAACTGACCCGTGGGGGGGACAAGGGGACAGCGAAGACTCCTGCTCTCAGATCCGGGCTGAGTCCCTCCTTCACGTTGTCCTTGAGCCCAGAGGGTGACCAGGAGGTAACGGGCAAACACCAGGATTCAGCAAAATACAAGCCCAGGAGCTGGGGGCCCGGCTGGCAAGGGCCAGGTGGAGGCCAGGAGTCGGCGAGGGGCCTGGGGCCTGGCGGCTTAGGGACTTATTCTTCCTCCATCTGGAGGCCGCAGCCCAAGAGGAAGGTGCTGGCGGGCCAGGTCCCGTGGGTGCTCAGGGGAGGACCCTCACACACCCCTCCAGCTGCCAGAGGCTCGCAGCCCCTCCTGGATGAGCAGCGCCCCCTGTCTGCTTCTCCCTGAGCCTGTGTCCTCCTCCTGACCCAGGCTGACCTCAATTGGACTCAGACTGGGGCGAGGGTGGGGGTGGGGACACGATTCAACCCAGTCCAGCGGCCAGAGGAGGAGAGGAAGAGGGAGACAGCAGACAGGGGCCAGGGAGCGAGTTAGGAAAGCGCAGAGGGGCCTGGGCAGGGGTCCGCAGTCTGGCTGAGGTCCAGGTACACTTGTGCTCCCAGGCCTGGGTCTCAGCCCTGTGTGATAGCCCGCACGGTCACAGCCCGCATTCACTCCTCTGCAGGGAGCACCTACCTCGGGCACACCCAGCGCTGAGTCCCGGCCCTGACCCCGACCCTGAGCCGGCCAGAGTGCTGCCCTGCTGCTCACCCACTGCATGCATCCCCTTCCCGCGGTACCACTCACAGCCAGCCTCTAACGGTGGGGACCACACTGCAGCCTGCAAGGGAGGCTGACGGGGGGACGGGACGGCCCAGCCGCACGAGACCCCCAACTTCCTTAGGGCCCATCCCCCTCCCTGCATGTGCCGCCCACCCAAGGACACGCACTCTGGATGCCCCTCTGCTGCAAAGAGTGCTGGGAAACAGGGCTGGTGCCTCCAAGGCTGAGGCTGGAGGAAGCCATGGTGTGGACAACTCTGGTGGCCAATCCCAGAGGTGGACGGGGACAATATGGCATGTGGCTACCAGGGAGGGGCTTCTGGATCAAGACTCACTAGGCTCTGGAGGACTGAGGTCTAGCAGATCCTATTCAACCGCAAACATCAGACTCTGTCCTCGGTGCCCCCCCCCCCCCCGTGAGACCCCCTCACTGGCAAAGAGCAGAGAGGCTCACGGAGGCCAGCCTCTACCTGGCCAAAAGGAGGTCAGCCACCTAACTCTGGCTCGGGTAGAAAAGTCCCTGATTATATTTCACCCCAGACTCCAAAATCAAGAGGCGCTAGAGCCACACTGTGGTTTTTAGGGGACAGATAAGTTATTTTAAAAAATCACTTCCCAAAGAAACAAGGGTGGGGGATGGATTGTAGAGCCTTGGATGTAAGGGATTTTCTCAGCTGTAAGCGAGGCAGAGCGACCACGCAGAGCCACGGCCCGTCAGAGGTCTCGGGGCCGTGCTGACCGTGAACAGTGCGTTTAAGGCCTGGTGTGCCCAGACGTGACAGACACAGCCATTCCTCCCCTAGAGGGGTGCAGTCTGTGCCCCGGACTCTGCGGCTCAGGCAGGGGTGTGTCGGGCAGGGGGCTGCCGAGCCCACCGCTCGGGAAGGCGCGGACTCTCCCCCTGCTGCCTGGCAGCCTGGTGCCCGAGCTCGCCACAGACTTTGCACGCTGCCCTCAACCCCGGACAGACGGCGGCTGGGGCTGTTTGCACAAAGGGGTTCAGCATCTTGGGTTCTCGGGCAAGTTTCCACTTACTCCTGCGACTGTAACCACCATCCGGAACCCTCTACTCGTGTTTTAAGAACTGATTGGGTTTTCTGTCCGTCCTCAAAAAAAACCTCCAAATTTGAAAAAGAAAACCAGTTCCTGTGATGGGGAAGGAAGACGACTCATGTCAGCACCTAAAAGCGATCGGTCCCTCCGGGGACGGGTACAGGGTCCGGCTGGCGGGAGCCTGTGAGGAGGAGCCTGCACGGTGTCCTTGAGGACAGGGAAGCCTGCGTGGGAGGGCTGCTTATAAAACCTACTTAACGATGGAACTAAGCCAGGAACCCTCTTTCCTCTGTGATAAAATAAAGCATCAAGTGAAGGCTGGTAGTAACGTGAGCCAATAAAGGGCACAGTCAAAGAATCACTCATTATGAGGTCTACGTCTGGGAAAGGCTACTGGCTGCAGATGGGGGACCCACGGTCGGCGGGG